GTTCGCATCATGTTCGAAAAAGGTCAGGAAAATTTGCACAAAAGTTCAAAGTTGAGAACTCAACGTATGCAATTGTCAGTGCAGCCGTGCCACCCAAAGGCTAAGCCCCACACCCCCGAATCAGCCCCCAAGACGCTTAAGTTGACATGTACAAAAACCAGTACGCCATGTTAATCATGAAATGGACAAACAGAAAAGCTCTTGACCCATACCTAAACTAAAAAACAAGAGCAGGTCGGCCCCCCCCCCCCCGCCGGCATTTTTGTTGGAGATTTGAGCGTTCAGTTTATGCGATTATACACACGTTGTATGTTGATCGAAGTCCTCCTAGGGAATCTCCACACGTTGGAACCACAGCCAGTCTAAAGACATTCATGATATAAGAGTTTGGTGCTATTTACGAGCATTCCGTCGGAACAGCGTGGACCATGTTGGTGTCCCGTGATGTTCGAAATTCGACGCCTTCGCATGAAAAGATTCGCTAACTTCTGCGTACGTGATCCGACTGCACGAAAGCTTCACATGTTCTGATAAGATCCCGCCCTGAACACGTCTATGTGATATATTCAGTAATAGTGAGAGCGCCAACCTAGTGTTGAAAGGAAATGTCTTATTTTAATACTTTCATGTATCTACTCCTAGCAGGATGATCAGGATCCAGCTGAATGTTAGTCAGGAAATGCAACACACAGATTGATGATAATGTATGCCTGTGGTAAGTGGGTGTAGTCACGTGGCAGTGCGGGAAATATTTATATGCACCGCCGCCGACAGAAAGCGACGAGTGTTGCTTTAACTTGAATGTACATTGTGCCCTCAGACTCACTTGATCTGATAATTATAACTGCCTACTGAAGCACAGTCTAATGTTCGATCGGGGTCGAGTGATAGAGTGTCGTGGGCCAGTGTGGTGGTGGAAAGGAAATGTGTTGTTTATAGCTTTTATTGAGGGTATCTCCAGCAGATTGAACAGGACCGGGCTGCAAATTCAGTCAGCGAGTCCTTTGAGGCTGATGACGAGTTAACAACTGTGGGATGAATTGGCGTTGAATGAGAGTTTTCGTGGAAACCAAGGTTGCCATAGCAATCCGGCGAAAATCTGCCTGTCTTTGGGGCTTAACATGTTGGAGACGCGAGTGTTGTGTTGGAGGCTGAACCTGGGCCGAGAAGAGTCGATGAAACTTTGCACAAAATTCTGTCGTGGGAAAGGCTAACCGGTGTATGTCTTGGCTCCCACAGAGACTGGGGGGTCGCAAAATGGATTAGCCACGACCCCACAGATACGAGAGAGAGATCGACTGCATATTTGGAGGTCGCATCATGTTCGAAAAGTCAGGAAAATTTGCACAAAGTTCAAGTTGAGAACTCAACGTATGCAATTGTCCGTGCACGTGCCACCAAATGGCTAAGCCCCACCCCCCGAATCAGCCCCCAAGACGCTTAAGTCTGACATGTACAAAAACCAGTACGCATGTTAATCATGAATGGACAAACAGAAAAGCCTCTTGGACCCATACCCTAAACTAAACAAGAAGTCGGCCATTTTGGATTTAGCGTTCATTTATGGCGATTTACACACGTTGTATTTGATCGAAGTCCTCCTAGGGAATCTCCACACTTGGACACAGCCATCTAAAGACATTCATGATTAAGAGTTGTGCTATTTACGACATTCCGTCGAACAGCGTGGACATGTTGGGTGTCCCGTGGCGTCCAATTTCGAACCTTCGCCATAAAAGAGGGATTCGTCATAACTTCTGCATACATGATCCGACTGCAACGAAACTTCACATGTTTGAT